GCACATGCCCTCCCCAAAGGAGTACTCAGCAAGTTGGTCATTAAAAATACATACCTCTATTGTAATACGCAGTATATGGCAATAAGAATATATATTCATTTTCCACGAGCCTATTTCCAATGAAATATGTAATAATCTTAGCTCATCTTCTGCAATTTAATGTTTTAAACATGCTAAGCTTTAGTTTTCTGGAGTTTGTGAAATACAAAGAAATCTGAGAGCCATTAAAGTATAAATTGGGATGTGTATAGCATATTGTTTCTCTCTAGTTTATAGAAACATAACGATCTGCTTCTCCGTGAAATTTGAATTCTGTAGGTAGAACACAGATTTTTATAAGATAAGCACTAAATGATCAATATGCAAGTTAACAAAAACAATCATTGGGATTACAACCAACTCTTCTTAATGTAACTTGCATTGGGAGTGAAAAGCCAGTAGATCCAATATTTTAACTGCTCCACCAAGTGACACACAATGAAAAGTATGAGGTGAAAATAGTTAAAAGGCTGCAACTGACTTCAGTAAATTTTGGATCTGGCCTCTAATGGCTGCGGAGGTAGACATACCAAGTTTGCCACTATTGTGTGTGTGTGATATACTAGAATAGATTGTTTTGTGTATTGTTCATTTACAACAAAACAAGGACATTTAATTTCATATTGGAACTTAAAAAAATCATGGATTAAGGTTTTATGTGTAACTAGTTATTTTCAAACTAGCCAATTAGCCCATCATAAGACGGGATTTTCAGGTCTCTCCTCCACGTCGGTCTTATCTCCTGAGCCTCCAGTCTCTCGCTCCATCTCTCTCTCTCTCTCTCTCCTCCTCCTACTGCCTCCCCCCTCTCTCTCAGCTCTCCTCTGCCTCCTGCCTCTCTCTCCGTCTGTCTCTTTCTCTTCTCTCCCTCCTGCATCTCACTCTCTCTCCACTCTCCTCTGTTTCCATCGGGGATGCCCCGCCCCTTGGGCATGTATGTCGCCGCTCAGCTGGGCCACCACGTGGGAGC